AGAAGAAAGTACCTTGGCATCCCGGAAAGAATGGAAGAAAAGAATCCTTCTCACAGCAGATCAATGTTGGAGAGGTTCCCCCCTAATCCTCATTGGTTAAGGTTCAAAATCARTTCYTAGGATAAATTCCATTGCATGGTTTTCTTGGAGCTATCTTGTCTGCCTTGAGGTTCCTAAACAGTGAATTCCCATTAATGAGCAGTCTTCAGTATTAAAACCACTGTCTTGTCACCTCATTTTGCATTACTGTCTTCCGTGGATGTTTCAGTTATAACTGCAATGTTATTTATAGAACAGCATTAATCCATTAAAGCTAACCTATTTTTCAATATTTATGATAATCTATGTACATACATTGTCTGTCCATATGTATTTGTAAATAGGTTGTATATAATATGTCAGTATTGGGTCTTGGGTTCACATGTATATATTCCTGTAAGTTTCTTAACTGCACTTTGATGAATTCACATTATGTATAAGTCCCCAAAAAACCTTTACAGAGAATTCAATATAAAAGAAAGACTCAAGTTGTGTACAAATTCTAAACATTTAAAATACTTGTTTAAACTGTATTTGCAATAAACTGGTTGGACATCAAATTTTTTTCATGAAAACTTGGTGCAAGTTCAGATCTTTATTTAAATTTTAAATAAAGCCTAAATCTTCAAAATGCAGTAGTTATCAAAATGTGATAGTGTAATGAAATCAAATGTGATCTAGTATAATGAAAGACCTTTGAGAACCTGGGTGCATTGACATTGTATATTAGTGTAAATATCCCCATTGTACTGTTAGAGGCCAACAATTCCAGTGTGGTTTGTTGGCAAGGAGTGCTACACCGTTTCAATGAAACAATGTATGTTTTAACTGAACTAAAATAAATACRTGCTTAATCCTGAGTGGTAGTGTTTTTCCTTTGAAGTAATGGGATTAGCAGCATTTTGTAAACACTTAGCAGTTGGTGAGTGTCGTTATGTGTTAGTGATTATAATGAACAGAAAAATTAATTTAAGTTCCAAAGTTTACAAACTAAAAGAATGAAAAGACAAGCTGGGAAGATGCTAAAAGGAATCAAAAGCACCCAGACTTCACCCTGCTGATGGAATAAGTAGGCCAAAAATGCATCAGAAACCATAAGAGTAATTGTTTCCCATATGTGCCTRTATGTTCTGAATGTATAGGTATGGCTGGAGTAAAGCCCAGAACCCAGTTTGTATTCAGTTTCAGGAAGCCCCTAATGCAGGTACAATTAAGGACCACTGAGGCCTGGAAATATTAGTTTGATGAATTGGTCATGAAAGGAAGCATTGATTGACAAGCTGATAGTATCAAGTAACAGCACAGAATTGCAAAGGGTGGCCAAGAAACTATCAGGTGTGGCCTATTGATGGCCTTAAAAGGTTGAGGCTTATAAAATGAAATACTAAAAGAAAATACAGGAAAGCAGGTGTRCTTGGAAGTGGATCTGAAGACAAATCTCTAATTTAGTAATGATGGCAAAGGAGAAGGGGTTGTGATTAGTAAGGGCAGCAGAATTTGCAACAAATCCGAATAGAAGAGAAAAGGACCTGTGGAGTTTTCAGGTATTCAAGCACCCACCACGTTGGGCAAGCATGCCTGACAGAATCCACTCACTTCAAATTATGCTAATTTTAAGGTACTATTTTAAAATAATACCAAAAACAAACCAGAATGCCAATTTATTAATCCAAAAATAGAAATATATCTGATAGGTAGACCTACTCCAAATGAAAATTTCTCTAGCCAGGAAACCAGCTATTCCCATCAGGTTTCCTTGAAGCCTGAGGAATATTTGAGGAACACGTCTAAATAGAGAAYCAAAGCTGTTCGTCTTGATTTGTAAATATTCCTACCTGGAGAGTTGGCTTAAACTTCTGATAACAAAATAAAACCAGTGAAAATWAGCTTAAGTAAATATGGCAGATGGAGAGAACTTAAAATAGAGATTGGAATGCCTCAGAAAATTAAAAGATGAATGGGCTCCCAAAAGTTGAAAACTATTCGCCCTAGAGACCTCAAATATCAAAGCTGTGTGCAGCTTTATTGTAGAGCTGTGCAATTCAATTCTGAGCTTTCAATTTCTTCAGTTCAGTTTCTCCAGATAAACCAATTGGTCAGTAATGAGTCAAGTATTCACCCTGATCTCTTCCGTATAATTACTAAATGAATACATTCTCTTTTATTTCCTACAGAACAGGTGAAAAGRGGCTCACACTTTTAAACAAGAATTTACTAAGTACTTGTGATATAAAAACAGCATGTGATTTAATGGTTTACTCACCTTCTGCAAGAGACCTAAACAGGAAAGTCTTTCTTGCCTCACCTATGTCTGCCTCCGGGTGGCAGAAGCCATCTTTAATCTCAACCACCCAAATGATTTTGTGGCAGTGAAACCCTTCTTTTCAAATCCTAGCCAAATCGCAGTAGGCAGCRCGTCAGTCTCATAATCTGAATGTCCCCCACATTTGTGAGGAAAGAGTTAACACCATAAGTCTGATCGTTAACCCTTGGCCAATTCCTAGGAACATGGCCATCAGAATGTTCTTTATGTTAGTGACTGATGATGTTGTTATATTCACCAGGAGCAATGGACCATGCCATACCAGTTTGTCAGGTTGCTTTACACAAACACCAAGATTAATGTGCACCTGGTTTTATTGTTGGGGTCCTGACTTTTGGTGGCCTAGGATATTTGCATAGCAGGATAAGCCTCTGTGATCAGTTTCCCACCCCCACTCTATAAATAAAGTCTTGGCCTCTAAGACTCATTTGGTCTTCTTTCGGACAGAGGTTTCACCCACGTCTCTGTAGTTCACTACCAGAAAAAGATTTCCTATGTGGTCTCAAGCAAAGAAGATATTGGAATCCTGGGCTGGACACCTTTGGCTTCCACTGTTAATATCTTTTTCCTGTTGCTTTTGTTCTGTGTTATTTCCTATAAAAAGTCTTAGCAGTTGATGTCACCATCATTGAGTCTTGGGATTCCTTCATGAGTAAATGAAATATGTATTTTTGTTCTCTCTCTCTCTCTCTCTCTCTCTCTCTCTCTCTCTCTCTCTCTTTCTCTCTCTTCTCTATAACATCAGTTTACAATATTCATTCTCTTCTTTTCCAGGAAGGATTTTTTTTTTCTCAGTGAAATCCTCAAAGCCTTATGAAATAAACTTT